ACCAGGGCTTTGGCTGCTCATTGCTGGTGGCAGTAAGTGACGGGTAGTGTGGGCATTTCTGCCAGTACTGTGGTAACTTTTTGTTGGTATCTAAGCTGTCTGATGCTTGTGAGGCCCAATGCCTGGTTTCCAGCCAGGTAGCTGCCTTGGGGATCCTTTCCTAGTAGGAGTGATACTAGTTGATCTAGTATCGATGGGGAATCTGTGCATCCATGGGGCAATTAGATTGAGGCAGAGCCAAACATTATATTTAATTCCTTTATACTAATTGGGTAGGACACAACTGTGTTTAATTGCAGTGGCATGTAAACAGCAGAGTTGAAGCTAACTCTGATGCAACTGTATTTTGCTAGGCAGAAACCATGACGTTGCTATTGTTCCCTGAGCTAAGTGTCTCCTTAAGCAGTTACAGAGCATTACATGGGTATTTCAAGCCTGCTCCTCTTAATGACTTGGTTAAAGAAAATTGCTATGCAGATCTAAAAGGCCAGTCTTGCAGCTTGCCTCCTCGAGACTTGTCCCTGCCTGAATTCAAGGACAGCTTTCAGCTTCTAGCTTGCAGGAGAGTCACTGTAAACCTTCCTTGGGGCCAGTCAGTGGAGCCCTCTGCCCGTGGACACTCAGTATAGATGTCCAATTCCTCAGTGCATAGAATAATTGCAGGCAAGGATGTGAGTTACCTGTACCTTGGGTGCCAAAAGCTGCCTCTTCCACCCTTTTACATCACACAGGCTTTTTCATTTTTATTTTTTGCTCGAAGTAGGTTTTTGTGAGGGACTGTGTGGGATTGGACCTGGGCCTGGATTAGTTAGAAGGCAGTCGGGGGTGAGAAGCATTCCAAACTAGCTGTTTGGTCACTGGTGACAGTTGACCATGTCCCACTGTCCCCTGGGCACACTGAGACCCCCTTTGCCCTGCTTGAACATCCCTTCCTAGGTCTGTAACTCCAGTCTGGTGTTACTACAGAAAGTGGTGAGTTATGTTTGGTGGTGCTTTCCAGCATCTTGTCCCCATGTGCCACCATACTTGGTTGTGCTGGTCAGTACCACCACAGGGGTGGCAGCTCCTGGTACTGGCTCTGGCTTCAGCTGTGCTGTGCCAGGGTTGGCTCTGCCCTCACAGCAGACTGGGAGCAGGACTCTACTTCCCTAGCCCTGAACAGAAACCTGCCCCTCCCTGGCCATGCAGAGTATGTTTTGCTTAGCCTGCACGTGAGGGGTGGGAATTTGGCAGCCAATATCTCAGTGATGACAATTTAGTCTGGTGCTGAAACTTGGCCAATGCTTTATGAGGCTAGGAGCAAAGGTTTTGTTGTTTGTTCTTTACACAATTTAAGACAGTATTGCCTTTGATGGGATAGTTGGGGGATAAAGGGAAGACTTGTGTGGAAAAAGAAGCACTGAAAATAAAATGGCAAATGCTTCCAGTGGATGCTTGGAGGCTCTTTGCCTCCCAAAGAACAGCTTAGTGTCTAACTGTTTGCCAGGTTGATAATGGGGAAGGAATAATGTTCTTCATTAGACTTCTGCCCCATTGAATTAAGCCCCAGAATTTCCACCCTGTCTTGGTGTTACCATGTGAAAGCAAAAATACTTGTGCCGTTGTAATTTCTCTGATGCTGTCAGTAACACTTGAAGACAGGCTTTTTTCTTCTAGCAGCTTGCTAACATCCATCAAGGGCAGGGGGAAAGGTGCTCCTTCCCCAAAGGAGTGCCCAGCTCAGGTGGCTGCCACAGAGTGTGGGCAGCAGGTCCACAGCTGTGACTGTTGATCAGACTCGACGCTGTGGAGTGTCTGTCATGATCATTTCTAAGCAGTTTGCTCTCCCATGTGAATCTTTGAAGGGCTGTAAGAGGGTTTTGTTCACATGCATCCACCCCTGCCTCAGACTGCAGCAACAGGCTGAGGTAAGAGACTTCAGGAATATTATTCCCTACAGCAGACTTACAATGCCCTTGATAATGGTTTTGGACACTTGGGGCTGTTAAGATGCTGGTTTGAACTTTGGTTCAAAAGTTACAGCAATGCACAGGCTGCAGAGGACTTGCAGGGGAGCAAGTCAGCTCTGAACCTCTTCTAACTGAGAAACTGTGGCATGCTTGTGCCCTGTGTCAGAAAAGTGAGTTTCCAAAGTTACACACAGGGGAGGCTTTTTGAAAAAAGTTAGTAATGGAATTGAAGAAAGATGGTCTCCACTGGGTGTGCTCCATCCCTGGCATGTCTCCTTACTGGCCAAACTGAAGCAGTGTTCTGCACACTGAGCCTGAAGCAGAGCAAGGCTTTTATACAGGTGTCTTCCCTACCTACAGAGCCAGTGGGGTGATGTTCTCTCTACTGCCTCAGCAGCAGGCTGCAGAGGAAAAAAGGGCAGGATAGAAATGGAGCAGCTATGAGCAGGACTTGATGTAGAGGAGGAAGGTGGAGGAGGTAGCTTAGAACAAAGAACGGTGTGGGGAAATGGTATGCGGTTGTGTAACTGGGGGTTGTATCATAATGCAAACATCCAGGGTGGGTATGGAGGTTTGCAGGCATTTCCCAATGCTGTAAATGCTTGACTTTGCAATCTTAATATTCTCTTTGCAGAGCTTTTTATGTAATACTCGATAAATCTGTATAGATCAGAACGCAGCACCAGGATGCACAGGCCTCCTCCTCCTTGTGGTTTTGTGTACCACAGTGTGTCCCTGGCACCTTGACAGTTACGAGTCTTTGTCACGCATTGTGCCTACCTATTGCAACATGCCTGCAATGAACGTGCCATTCAGACTCCCCTAATGCCTAGTCATAACAGGATGGATTAAGAATGGCATTTCAGCCTTCCTGAAGAATTTCCTTGTTTTTGCTGGTCTCTCAGGCCTATTGAGGCTGTGCAGGCTTACAAGATCTCACTTGGTGGTGCTACCCCTGGGGGTGTTCTGGGAAAGCCTTTTTGCTTGTGTGATAGTGATTGCAGTCTCCAAGCTGCTATGTATACCCAGCATGTCCGCGAAGAGAGACAAGAATGAAGACAACTAGTATTTGCAGGAGCTGCAGCAGGGCTCGGGTGCTCCCCTCTTCAGAGGATGGGGAAGGTCTGGCCATGCACTGAAGTCCTCTACCCACACAGCCACCTCATCCCTGTTCCTCTGGGTGCCAGGGTGGTGGGAGGTCCTGCAGAACTAAGGGCATGCAGCGTTGTGGCCTGTGCCATTCCAGACCCAATGCTCTGCACGTCAGTGCTCCCAGCCTGGTCACAGAAGCTAATTAATTGTTGCTAAGGGAAGACTTCTTTAAATCTGACACGCTTCTTGTGTTTCTTTGTCTGCTTTGTCACATAAAACATTGCCTTCTTTCAGCTTGAGTCTTCATTCCAGCAGGCAGGATGGGGAGTACATAAGCACGCAGTGGCTGGTGGTGTCTTCTGGCTTTTGTGATGTGCCAGTTTGAATCCAGACCAACTCAACTGAAGCGAACCATTCTGAAGGCCCATCCTGCCCATGGGTGATGGGCCCCAGGCAGGACATGCCTGCCTGCACACAGCAGCTGCTTGCTACCTCTGCCTTGCCAGCACCCTTGCTTCACCAGAGCCATTCTTAACCCCTTGTAACAGCACAAGTTTCCTCCAAAGGTTTCCCCCTCAGTGCCCTTCCAAACGGGTGGGGTTCTTTTCCTGGCAGTATAGGCCAGACTGTTTTAAAGCTGTATAATCTTCTTGTAAAGAAAAGGAGCCAAACTTAGAGTAAGGTGCCATTTCAGTGGGTGATGACTTGCTGTTTTCTCCATTAACTTTTTGCTGTAACAAGGCAACATGTCTCCCCATAACATTTTTCTTAGCTGAGCACCACAGATGCTCACATGAGGGGAGAATGGCCAGACCTTGTTGGATCAGCGCAGAGGCTTACTTTGTAATTGTATCCAGGCAAGACTTGAGATAAGACATAAATGAGAGCAACTGGTGAAGTGCTATGAGGAATGATCAAGGCCTGAAACCCTTGCTCCTTTCCCACCCTCTTGAGCCATATATTGCAGTGAGGTGCAAGATCTCCATCAGCTGAAGTGAGGCATGGGCTGTGCCAGACATTACGTAGAGCAGGATTCTGTCCAAAGCCAGGGTGAAGTATGCTTTATGTATGCTTGGGGTACAATCTTGGCCTTGCGGATGTTGATGGCAGTGTTCCCATTGACTTTATTAGGTCAGGAGGTTGCCCTTGGCTTTATTTTTTTTTTTAATCAATGTATGTGGGGAGAAGGGAGGAGTCCAGGGCATACTGTGGCCAGAGCAAATGCATGAAGCTTCTCTGGGGGTGGTGATGTGGGAAGAGAGGGAATTTGCTGCCCACCTGAGTAGTAACTTGGGTAAACAGAATTAGATTTGGTCCAGAGTACAGTAAAACAGTTGGGAGACGAAGGGAGAGTGGCACTAAGTCTATGTAGGTCAACAAAACCCTTCCCATCTGGGATAAGTGTTCTAGAAGTGTGATCTATGATCTAAGGAAGCTCTAGTGTGCTAACTTACTGGCATGGGTTCCAGTGGGACTAAATGGTGGGATCGGAGTTGTGATTGTTCCCCTGGATAAAACCATGATCTCGCTCATGGGGGACTTTCCTTCCCACACTTGTTCAGAGGAGGAGGATTCATGTGGGCCAATGGCCTGTCACGCTTAGGGAAGCTGTAATGGGAACAGAATTGGGATCTTCTTATTATTGTATAAACAAACCAGTTGCATAAAATTACCCTTGAAAGACCCCGTTGGTGCTCTGACCGCAAGGTTGTTTATTAGCCCAGGTCAAACTTAAAACTTATTGCAGGCTTGAGTCCAAATCCAGGAGTAAAATAGAAGTGGTTTTGTCAGACAACTTGGTTTTAGCCACCACAGCATCATCTGGGAAGCAGCTTGATGGGGTTTCTGTGCCATTGTCCGGCTCCTTCCTTGTAACCTAAGGCTTTCTTGTGTATGTGGCTGCTCTAGCCTGATGTGGATAACGCAGTGGAAGCAGCAAAGGCAGCATTCCAGAGAGGGGCTCCGTGGAGACAGATGGATGCCCTAAGCAGAGGACGACTCCTGCACAAGCTGGCTGATCTTCTTGAGCGAGACAGAGTCATCCTGGCAGTAAGTACTGTGATTGGTGAGCAGTGATAGACCAGCAACTGTTGGCTGATGACTCGGCTCTATCCCTATGATTTTTGCTGCATCCATATCTACCTAATGTTTTTCTTTTCTCTTCCATTATGAAGGGCAGAAGATTCCATGCAGGAGTCATGGCTTATCTTCCTCTTTCTGCAGGATGATTTTAGGGGGTCTTAGAAGAAGGCTGTTAGTTCTTCTATACAGTTGACTTCTCAAAAAATTTAGCTGGTTATTGAAGTGGTTACAGTTATTAATACTTCAATTTTCAAAGCAATAGACATTCTTTCTTAGTTTAACAATAATCAGTGTTCATAGCTGTCTCCCAGCTCTTATCTTAAAGCAAACAAACCCCCCAAACCAACCAACAAAAACAACAACAACAAAAAACAAACAAAAAAACCCCAAACCAACCACCACAACTGACATGGTCCTTCTTTATTACAAAAATGCAAGGCTGGTTTGACTTCTTTGCAAATTGCTTCTCCTAAAATGGGGGGCTGGAAAGAGAATCTTTCTCTTGCTGGATGTCAT